TTTGAAACGCTTATTTGTTTGTCTCGTAATATGGTTAAGATATTTATGTATCTTTAGTATTACTAATTATTTGAGTATCTTAAATAGTGCCTCTGATATTGTTATCTATGCCATATCTAGCTAGTATTACTAGGTATTATCTCTTTTGGTTGAGTTTATTTTTATTCCTTTTAATATTGAAGCTATTTATTGTTAGTAATTTTAACTACCTGTAGAATTGTTTGGTATTACTCCCCTCTGGCATTTGTGGTTAGTTCTCTAGAGCTTAAATCATGATTTATTTAAAAACATTCGCATTATCGAGGTAGTGAGTACCCGCAAACGACAGTTGACCTCACGTGAACTTTACTGTGTTGTGCCTTTCAAGCAATTTCGAGAGCTGACCTCATGTGACCCTTACTGTGTTGTTCCTGCCAAGCCAATATATTGTGTTATGAAGGGACGTAAGTCTGGGACAAGAAACTGGAATCGGTTCAGGCTGTGAGCGTCGGCTGTGTGGCGTGTGTTGTGGGGCTAGAGATCGAAGAGATTTTCCTATTAATTTCATTAACTAATATTCCTTAAACGTTGTATTTCAGCGAGTATGCGCATCGGCAGATAAGATGGCAAGAGTTTAGAAGCAGCTTGTAATAACTGTAAAGCTGTTAAATTATTTTTAGATCTCACTGTTAAATTATCTGTCTAATCTCTGATTCAGTGCCAATTTGAAGTAACCGCGTCGTTTTTGTTTTTTTTTAACCCATCACATGTTAGTTATTTGGCTGATGAGAGTTACATCTTTGTCTTCTGTGTCCAGTTTCTCATAGTAGTATGGGTATGCTATCAATTTATTGAAATCTATTTCGTGTTATTAATCATTTAGATGATGTTTTAATCGTTGCTGTGAATTTTATAATTTAATAATTTTAGGTATTTTGAATGAAACGTGTTGAAAAAATGACTGTATTCGTGCCAAGGGAACATCTCTCAGGTTCTCTACACCCCACTTGTGTGTTGGAGTGCCTGAATATGAGCCGTAGGGGTCGGGTGGATTAAAATTCAGCGAACAAGACATGCTCCAGTAGCGTTTAACCAACGTTGGATCAACGTTTTCAATGTTACAGATACGTTATTTTCCCAGATTTAGCTGGAAGGAAGTTTAATTCTCACTAGATTTGTGTGCCTGTCTTGTATTTCGTCTAGCAGGTTAGATAAGTTGGTCTTAAAAAGAGAGGTTCCTAATACCTGTAATTAATTTCCTCGTCATTCTTTTTACTCTCAAATGAACTGACATACGGTACATTATATAGTACGGGTCCAAATCTGTGCTGTAGAAATCCAAGTGGGAATTCACAAGGGCATGATACGGTTGAAGGGCTTTATTAGAGCTTTTATTATTAACACTTGGCACATATAGAGTGCGTTTCATCACATAACGCCAACACAATAATAACAATACGTAACAAAAGTGAGAATAAAGAAACAAAAAGAAAAGAAAGACAGTGATGGTTATCACATCTTCTATTGTGATGGTTCATATACAGTAGGAATGAAACATGTTTGACCAAAATATTGACTGAAGCAAATTAAATCCAGCCTCGACTTTATTGAAAAGGGTATAAAAGCTGTTAAAATAAACTAATCGAACGTATCCCAGCATTTTGCAACCAGTGTGCCATGGGAGTCTGAAGGACAGTAAAAATATAGCAGGGATAGTAAGAAATCTGAAGATTAATTTTTAAAACTAATCTTTTGAAATCCACTATATACAATTATTTACAACAATAACACTATTATTAGAATTTTAACTATTAAACTTTTAAACACATTCTTAATATATATATATATATATATATATATATATATATATATATATATATATATATATATATATATATATATATATATATATATATATATATATATATATATATATATATAGCTAGACAAAACTGGATTGGGCACCAGCGCGGTTCCTCCAAATAACCATTGGGTTTAGGTTGGCTCCAGGTTGTCTAAGCATATCGTGGTCCATGAGTTAAGACATGTCTTGGGTGTCTCAGGACGCTGGTTCAATTACATTGTCCTGCTCCAGAGATTTTCTATTAGATATATCACGTTAGTGTGAAAATTGCTTATTTAATGAAATTTGGTAAAATATTACTTTATGTTCTTACCTTTTCATGCATTTTTTGGCTCGTGTACTAGAACTTGCAGCGGCCGAGGTATTGAGGTCAAGGTGAAAGTTTTGTATAAGTTAGCCAGTAAATTGTCTAAGCTTCTTCCTTATGGGCCATTAGTGCTGGCTGGAGACGTTAATAGCGCCGAAGTGCAGAACTTAATGGCTGTCACAGGTGTTGTCTAATGTGTCCCTTTGGCGCTCGTTAATATTTACTGGTTATAATGAGCAGCACGAGGGAGAGAGGTTTGGAAGTATATCTAGAAGTATGTTCCGGACCGGGTAACAATATACTCCATTGACTGTCAGCAGGCTCGTGGGTGTTTCCTATTGTGCCGTCTGCACCTCTAGCATGTCACGATAACGAATAACTCCAACTGCAGCATGATATTTTCTACATATCTGGCATATATATTTCCTAGTCTCACACGGTGTGCTAAATAGTCTGGGATATGAGGACAAGGAGTGGGGGTATGAGGACAAGGAACTGGGATATGAGGACAAGGAGCTGGGACATGAGGACAAGGAGTAGGGACATGAGGACAGGGAGCTGAAATTGAAATAAGTTTATTGAGGTAAAATACACACAAAGGGATGAGGTAGCTCAAGCTATTCTCACCCCGTTTGGGGGTGGAGACATTGTAAATGTGTGGCCACGTCTGTGGTAGAAAATAATAATAATACAAAAAATTGATATTAACATGTTAAGACTGATGTATTAGGATATGATGCGGTAGGCAAACCTTCAAGCGACACGAAAATTTGTTCCTGCATAGTTTGAACGCAAATTTACCGCCGCAAAAATAAATTCTTCACCTAGTGCAGCTCCTCTGTTTTAAGGTCGTATCTGGTTGGTTTTGCGATAATATAGTTTCAGACGTACAGGTTACATCAAGCCTACTACGTGGTCCTGGAGTCAAGTAACGCAGTTAAGAATTGACGATGTTTCGGTCCGCCTGGACCATTTTCAATTCGTCATATTTTTTGCAAGATGCACCAATTTGCAAGATGCACCGAAACGCCGTCAATTCTTAATTTGTCAGATTTGTGAGTTGGGTGTCTAATCTTCAAGAATGTAGAGATCATTGAGGAGGCTAATACGAGAGCAGAAATACCTGAAATGAGCGATGTTGATGGAGGCCAATTTTCCAAGGTTTCTCTTCCATCAAGTGACCTTGAGTTAATTTTATGCAGAAAGCATGTAACTCACGAACCCAAAGAAAATCATAGCACTCTTATCTAATTGCAGAATTCCTGGCGATTTTTGAGTCGCTCAATTTGTTTTGGTTTAAACACTAATGTACCCCAGTTTGAAGCGCTCAACGTGCTGTTTATTTCATAACATTTTTCGGATCCCCGAATATAATTATAGTAAACAATATCATGTCAATTTTTTAAACAGATAAAGCAGGTCAAGGTGCCGGTATCCCCTTGAATTGTCTGGAATCGAAGACATTTAATTACAAAATGCTTGACAAAGGCGAGCCATCTCAAACTGCGCAACTACCCTGAAGCCATTCGGATTCAATCTACGAGTCACACACAAGCAGCCAATTACGGACTGTTAACGGAAACGGCTAATTACAAGCTGCCTGGCAATCAAGGAGCCCCTTGTGTCGCCGATTGTGGAGACCTATAGCCTCATGGCACTCAAGGTGTCGCCTCCCACCGCCTCTGCTTGCCAGTGTGCCTGCTTACCTTACTTTGCCTTAGTCTTTCCTACCCCTCACCATCCTGCCTACCCTCACTATCCTGCCTCACACAGTCCTAACTACCCTCACTATCCTGTCTCACAGTCCTGCGTACCCTCACCATCTTGCCTACCGTCACTATCCTGCCTCACACAGTCCTTACTACCCCTCACCATCCTGTCTCACAGTCCTGCCTACTCTCACTTAGATTCAGCTGCTCGAAACGTAAGTTCAGAGCAGCACGGGCTATGGTGAGCCCGTAGTGGACTTACCTGGCACAGGAGCGGGGCTGTAACTTGTGCGAGCTCTTACGTGTTGGCATCTTTAATACCATATGTCAAGCGATGCGGAGGAAGATTAAATTGTGTCGAGCTGCCTGCCTCCTGTCCGCTGTACCCAGGTCTGACTGGGCCTCTCGTCCGCTGTACAGAATACAGCATAGCTGTATTCTGAATCTGCATAGCTGTATTCTGAATCTGCATAGCTGTATTCTGAATCTGCATAGCTGTATTCTGAATCTGCATAGCTGTATTCTGAATCTGCATAGCTGTATTCTGAATCTGCAGGCTGTATTCGGCTGTATTCGGCCTGACTGGGCCAACCGTTTGCTGTACCCAGGTCTCTCTCTCTGGGCCTTCCGTCCACTGTACCCATACTTTTATTATTCGAATGGTAGACAAACAGAATGAACTAATCGAGAAGGTTGAAGCAGTAAATTCTATCAACCGTTTTAAAGGTAGATATGATTTGAAGACAGAGTTTGGAAGTCATTACGTATGTATCCTCAAGGTGGAACCCCCAAAATGGAACCCCCAAAGTGGAACCCCCAAAGTGGAACCCCTCGCTTTAAAACGCTGAAAATGAAATCAAGAAGTCCTAGAGAGAAGCCAGAAGCTTCATCCCGTAAGTGAGGAAACAGAGTTAAATTTTTATTTTTAATTTTTTTTCTACCACAGACGTGGCCAGACATTTACAATGCTAACCAGCATATATACATTTTCTTCTGTCCTCCATGGACAGGGTGAGAGCTCTGTTAAACATATAGTTCAGAGATTTATTGAACAATCAACTGCAGAAGGTGATTGTGGTGAGAGACTACGGGACTGAGCCCAACCATGCTGGCGGGTGGTATATATATGCAGGTAGGTGCTGAGGCTATGATGACATCACTGAAAACCAGTAGAACCGGGAACCTGTACTGGTAATTTGTGATGATGTACCGGGAACCTATTCGTGTACCGATAATTCGTAATAATGTACTGGGAGCCTATTGATGTACCGGTAATCTGTGATGATGTACCGGGAACCTATTCGTGTACCGATAATCCGTAACAATGTACTGGGAGCCTATTGATGCACATAATAATGTACCGGGTAACCTATTGATGTATCGATAATCATTAATGATGAACCTGGAACCTTCTTGATGCACCGCTGATATGCGTTGCCTGCTGGGTATGTGCACTGATAGAGCGTATTGGAATCTGCGTAGATTCTGAATTTGTGATGTGTGGATTTTTGTCTGTATCTTTGTTGACATTGTTGTTACATTGTGAGAGTAGCAAGTCTTTTTTTTGCGTTCTTTACAATGTTCGGATTCTTTTTAAGTCTGGAATCTGTTTCATTGTGTCAGGAATCTGCATGGCTGTATTCTGAATCTGCAGGCTGTATTCGGTAATCATCATGGTTGTATTCTGAATCTGCATAGCTGTATTCTGAATCTGCATAGCTGTATTCTGAATCTGCATAGCTGTATTCTGAATCTGCATAGCTGTATTCTGAATCTGCATAGCTGTATTCTGAATCTGCAGGCTGTATTCGGTAATCATCATGGCTGTATTCTGAATCTGCGTAGCTGTATTCTGAATCTGCATAGCTGTATTCTGAATCTGCATAGCTGTATTTTGAACCTGCATGGCTGTATTCTGAATCTGCAGGCTGTATTCGGTAATGAGCATGGCTGTATTTATAGATATCGTATAGTTCATTTTATTTGTAATTTGTATGTTGTTTATGTCAGAAATATTCAGTATGATTAACATTGAACAAATCCACAAGGCCCGTGATGAGGGTTCGAACCTACGTCCGAAAGCATCCCAGACGCTGCCTTAATCGACTGAGCTACGACATGGTAAAAAGAATTCAGGGATCCTCTCGGATGTAGGTTCGAACCCTCGTCACGGCCCTTGTGGATTTATTCATTTGATGCATCACGCTATTGTGATTTCTGTGTGTTTAACATTGTTTTGTGTGTGGCAGGAGCGGATGATGGGTGGTGGAGTTGTGTGGCGAGAGTACAGTCCGCCAGTCGACTACCCGCCGGCTAGCCTTCGACACCCGCTCCCACACCAACGGAAGCAGTAGCGGTGCGGCTAGCCACCACCCCCCCCAGCCATCCCCTTCCCCCACCTCAAGGCCTCGTGTGCTGGCGGTGGTGGGTCCAGTGTCTAGTCAGTAGTGGCCCACTGGTGTGGCCCACGGCACTGCATGGCACCTCAGTTGCGGCCCACTGACCCAAGCCCACTGCTGCCGAAGTTGATGGCCGCTATTTTAAGGCCTTAGCAAGCGGCGGCCTATTGAAGCCCATCACGTCTGTCTTACGACCCCCCCGCATGATACAAGTAAGTTAAGTAGGAAGTTTAAGGCTTATTGGCTGCTTAGATCACTAAGACCTTCGTTACCAAACTTCAGGTATACATTTAAGTTGAACTGAGTTAAGGATTAAAGCAAATTATCAATTTTATTACATTGAATAGGCTGCACCTGTGTGTATACCATCTTGGTTTGGTGTTGGGCTTAAGGCCTGTCACTCTCGGAATGGTTATTAACGCCACCTCGTGAGCTTACTTGACATCCTGCAAGTATACTTTAGTTCTCAACATATTTAAGGATTAAAGTAAACTCTTAATATATATACACCCGAGAAGCTGAAGCGGGATATACGTCTCTGTGTGTGTGTCATTCTGTATATGATGGATTAAGTATCCGGGTCTGTCTGTCTGTCTGTCTGTCACTCTCTATCTTTCTCTCTCTCTCACACACACACACACACACACACACACACACACACAGAAGATGCAATATTATGAACAGCTAAAAAGACTCTGGAAACAAAACCCATACAACCTCACTGGAGACCTTCCCTTGGTCATCTGGGGACGGGAGGAGGTAACTGAATATAATTATAATAATAGATTTAACTGGTAGATTAGTAGAAGCTGTTTAGGTCTATCGAGACCACCCATTCCAAGGGAGAAATTGTCCGCGCTGTCACCCATCCAGTTACTGGCCGGAATCATCGATACTTAATGCTGCTGACCGAGAACTGGGCAGTAAAACTGTGTTGATGGCTCCGGCCAGTGCACGTGATGCTGCCACAGTTCTTGTACAGCGTTTTATAGTTTTTTTCTTTAAATATATCTTGCTTTGACGCGTGCCTGTCTTCTCCGGCGACAGTGGCGACGGACGCGCAGCGGCGGCAGTTGTGTCCGCGGCTGCTGGACTACATGGTGGTGGTGGGGGCTCGCAGCCCGTCCAGAGCTGCGCCCGTCCAGCCCCCAGAGCTACTGCGCAGGTACCCCCCAGACGACCACAAGGTAAGACAACATCTTGTTATGTTACCCTTCTAAACTGTTCCTACACTTGGCCCTCTACCCAGCTGTCGCCGCTACAGTTAGTGTCGTCCTGCGCCACTCTACTCTCCCGAGCCCAGCACAACGGGGGCATGGGAGCATGTAAGAGAAACAAGTGGGCGCAGCACCGCCCAGCTGACAACAGCAATGTAATCGTCGCTGAAGGCACAGGCAACCCACTTTCACGTGACGGTAGTCCCCTCAGTGAGTCAGCTAACTCGTCACGTAGTCCCCACAGAGAGTATAGTCCTCTCAGAGTCAGCTAACTCGTCACGTAGTCCCCACAGAGAGTATAGTCCTCTCAGAGTCAGCTAACTCGTCATAGTCCCCACAGAGAATATAGTCCTCTCACAGAGTCAGCTAACGCGTCACGTAGTCCCCACAGAGAGTATAGTCCTGTCAGAGAGTCAGCTAACTCGTCACGTAGTCCCCACAGAGAGTATAGTCCTCTCACAGAGTCAGCTAACGCGTCACGTAGTCCCCACAGAGAGTATAGTCCTCTCACAGAGTCAGCTAACTCGTCACGTAGTCCCCACAGAGAATATAATCCTCTCACAGAGTCAGCTAACGCGTCACGTAGTCCCCACAGAGAGTATAGTCCTCTCAGAGAGTCAGCTAACTCGTCACGTAGTCCCCACAGTGAGTATAGTCCCCTCAGAGAGTCAGCTAGCTCGTCACGTAGTCCCCACAGAGAGTATAGTCCTCTCAGAGAGTCAGCTAACTCGTCACGTAGTCCCCACAGAGAGTATAGTCCTCTCAGAGAGTCAGCTAACGCGTCACGTAGTCCCCACAGAGAGTATAGTCCTCTCAGAGAGTCAGCTAACTCCTCACCTAGTCCTCACAAAGAGTATAGTCCTCTCAGAGAGTCAGCTAATTCATTTCCGGATTGTGGAACTCGCGGGAAGGAAAGCACAGCTAGATCCTGGCCAACCTATAGCCAAGAGGCTATGCTAGAATAGGTTAGGTTTGAATAGGACCGTTGAGGTAAGTTTCTTAATAGAATAGTGTTGATGTAGAAGGGTATACACACTTTGTCTCAGGTTTTAGACCCCACTAAAATCCAATATTCTTGATTCCCACACCAACATTCTTAACTCAGTCCCAGCAGGGCCTGTGCATACTGGTGTATTTGCTGGATAATTGCTCACCTGGAGGTTGTGTATGGTTGGTAGAGACAGAACCCTTCTGGACAACCAGGTTGTTGGAGTTTGCGTATTATGCTAATATCATGAATTTAGCCATCATGCTAATGTTGTTATCGTCAACTTAGCTCATCATACTAATAATGTTTTTCATGAAAATAATTCATCATACAGTACTGTTATTGTCCATAAGATTCGTCATTGTTAGTCCATCATGCTACTACGACTACTGTTATCATCAAGTTATCCCTGCATGCTTGAATTGTTACCAAGATACCACATCATGCTAATATTGATATCACAGAGTTGGCCCATTATGCCAATATTGGTATCAAATTAGCCCATGAGGCTTGATATTGGTGTTAAGATAGCCCATGTGGCTTGATATTGGTGTTAAGATAGCCCATGAGGCTAGATATTGGTGTCAAGATAGCCCATGAGGCTTGATATTGGTGTTAAGATAGCCCATGAGGCTTGATATTGATGTCAAGATAGCCCATGAGGCTTGATATTGATGTCAAGATAGCCCATGAGGCTAGATATTGGTGTCAAGATAACCCATGAGGCTTGATATCGGTGTCAAGATAGCCCATGAGGCTTGATATCCATATCACGTTAATGGTATGATTAATCCCACTCCTGATGATACTGCTATCATACACCTCATTATGTTGATGGTATCATTATTAAATTAAACTAAAATTAAATTATTATTAAATTGAACTTAAATTAAACTGCTATTGTTTTATCAAGTCTCTAACAATGTGTTACTCTTATTAGCAACCTCTCCTTGCTTTTATTAGTATTATTAATTAAAGAGTATTTTTTGTGTTACCTTTTGCTTGAATATAGTAAGGAAGGTCTTGATAATTGTAATTAATCCTCAGATTATTAGTAATAAAGGAAGGTCTTGATAATTGTGGTAACTGATTAACCCTAAGATTATTAGTAATAACGCTGACAGTCGTTTATTTGGTTGTTCCGTTGCTTGCCACATTCATCAGTGATAACGAGTAACATTTAGTTATGATTATACATTCTGGTAACTAACAGGAACTTTACAGGAAGAGCAGATGGAAATATTCTCAAATTTAATTTAGTAGTTTGCTGGTTAAAATGTGTTTCGTTAGTAATTAATTGTTCACCTAATTCATTAATTAAGGGGGGTTACCTTACCTTGAGGTGCTTCCAGGGCTTAGCGTCCCCGCGGCCCGGTCGTCGACCAGGCCTCCTCCAGCCTCCAGGGTGGGGGGACTCGTTAACTTATTACTGGGGGGGGGGGCATTTGACAAGCCGCCGGCTTCCTGTCCAAGTGGAGGCCACTCCCTCATGTAAATTATAACCACAGAGTTCTTTTCTGAGACATTTAATGAGAGATGGTGATAAATGGGATATATCTTGAGGGGAGTACAATGTAGGTGTTTACTTGGCCGACAGGACTTTCCTCTGCCCCTGGACGTGATATACTTCTGTCAGCCTGAAGGATGTGTCTCTGTGGGACCCAGGAAGACGTCTCTGAGGGAGGCCACCTCCTTCGTCTTCACCCTCTGCGACAAGGATTCCGGTGAGTGTTAAATTTCTTCCTTCTGTTAGTCCTGATAATAGGACTATCACATCAGGATATTTCCTGATGGTAATGCCTCTAGGTAGGCACCACTGAGAAAATAGTTTCTTGAAGGGAGCCGGTCGGCCGAGCGGACAGCACGCTGGACTTGTGATCCTGTGGTCCTGGGTTCGATCCCAGGCGCCGGCGAGAAACAATGGGCAGAGTTTCTTTCACCCTATGCCCCTGTTACCTAGCAGTAAAATAGGTACCTGGGTGTTAGTCAACTGTCACGGGCTGCTTCCTGGGGGTGGAGGCCTGGTCGAGGACCGGGCCGCGGGGACACTAAAAAGCCCCGAAATCATCTCAAGATAACTCAAGATGCTGGGTAGTACCCGTCTCGATCCAAACCCTTTCTCCCACGTATCTATCGAGCGTTTTTTAAAGCTAACTATACTCTTTGCCACAATGATGTGTGCTTGAAACTTATACCACACGTCTACCACACCGTTGCTAAACCGATACATCCTCGCTGGCTTCATGACACTGAACTTCTCCAGCTTACAGCCATTATTGCCTGTTTTGCCCTGATCTCTTAGGTGGTTACCTTGAGGTTACCTTGAGGTGCTTCCGGGGCTTCCTCAAGGTATCGTCAAGGTAACCACCTAAGAGATCAGGGCAAAACAGGTAATAATGGCTGTAAGCTGGAGAAGTTCAGCAGAAGTTCAGGTGGGAAGAGATAGAAAGAGAGGGGGGATGAAAACGTAGAATGGGAAAGAGAAAGGGGGGGGGCAGGAAGGGGTGAAACAAAGGAAAGGAGGGTAAGGGGAGGGGTCGAAGAGATGAGAGGAAGGGAAAGAGGGGGTATGGAGGAAAGAGAGATGAGGGGGGGGGGAGGGGGATGGAAGAGAAGGGGTTATATTGAAATACTGAAGTAAGTTTTGGTACATCTTGACAGTTAGAATTTCTACCTCAAGGCTATTAGTATGTAATGAACTGAACCACCGAATAAGGCACTTGCTTTGGCATCAAGAACTTGCACGTATTCTCCTCCAGAATATTCTTTCAGCAAATTCCGCAACAGTCTAAGCTTACACTAAGAAGCCACCTCCAGACTGGACTGTACTCAAGACAGTTCACCAAATGATTCGAACTGTTCGCCAACTGATTCGAACTGTTCGCCAACTGATTCGAACTGTTCGCCAACTGATTCGAACTGTTCGCCAACTGATTCGAATTGTTCGCCAACTGATTTTAAAACTAACTTTATCCGACCTAACTTACCCAAACTAACCTAACCTAAGCTAAGACACCCTAACCTGCTGATGCTGTATATACGGTCTTGACAATCAGAAAACATACAAAGGGGCTTGACTATCAGAAAACGAGATTTGTTGAGCCGACTTGTGTAGGATCTGATCCTGGCCCTCCAGACTGCCTTCTTGACACAATTTCACTCTCACTGAAGGTCAAGATTAGCTCCTCCTCCTCTTCTCAGAAAGCACACTTCAAGAACCCTGCTACAGGCACCGGAGCGTCTTGACACTGGGGGCAACTTTGGTTCTGAGTGACTCATTACTGCCGACATTTTTGGCCGTCTTGGTGAGATATTGTATGCTCTTCAGCCACTTGGGCTGGACGGTAGAGCGACGGTCTCGCTTCATGCAGGTCAGGGTTCAATCCCTTGACCGTTCAAGCGGTTGGGCACCATTCCTTTCCCCCCGTCCCATCCCAAATCCTTATCCTGACCCCTTCCAAGTGCTATATAGTCCCAATGGCTTGGCGCTTTCTTCTGATAGTCCCCCTTCTCTTCGCCTATACCACTCTTGATAACACCAACAGCTTCTGTATACAGAGACTGTATAGAGTCAACAGCTCTGCATTAAAGCAATAGAGCTGGTGTACGCTGAGCCTGGAGAACCACCATCCCAGCGCTACCAGGGGCAGTGAGTCGTTAGGTGTTCCAATTTTGTTAACTGTATATACTTGGTTAACAGGGAGCAAGATATGTTAACAGTTTACCTGAGGGCCACTACCACTTGTGGCTTGGACGAGGACAAGAAGCCGGCGGCTTCTCAAAGGCCCCCATTGTTCCTTTTTCAACTTGGATATGTTGGGTTAACAGGGAGGCAACATGTAACAAAATACACAATACTGACTACATCGTATAATATAATTTATTTATCATGTAGTCCTTCCGTTGCCTAAACCACATATACCTTGAATCCGAATTTTATTCTCCAGAAGAGTATTTAGGCTGTCGATCTGGTATTCCCGCGATGAACAGACAGTTCTTGTAAGTAGTTTAACAGATCATAATATCTTGAAGTGTTCTTCTCCAAGGACCACACGAGCCGCTCCAGCACGCCATTTCCTTCTGGTGAAGTCTGGGTTCTATGTTTAGCAAGATTCTCCGATTGTGTAATAGATTCTCTCTGTTACCGTGATAGACCATCTGTAGGCGGTGGTGGCAGGCTGGTGGGGGAAGAGATACTGTCGATTATATTTCACCCTCTCTCCAACACACACGCCAACTTTCCCCCTCACCAACTCACGCGCCAAATTTTCCCTTACCAACACAGACGCCAACTCCAGTTGTCTCTCACTTTCAACTCTCAAACCCTCCAATCTTGGCTGACTTGGCCAGGTTCTCCAGTCGTCTGATAGATTCTTATCCAGATGTCTTTTTCTCAATTTCTCTTTATCTTATATTTGTCTGGGTTATATTTGTGTGTTTGTGTGTTTTCTCTCTGTCTCTGTCTCTCTCTCCCTCTCCCTCTCCCTCTCCCTCTCCCTCTCCCTCTCCCTCTCCCTCTCTCTCTCTCTCTCTCTCTCTCTCTCTCTCTCTCTCCCTCTCTCTCTCTCTCTCTCTCTCTCTCTCCCTCTCCCTCTCCTCTCCCTCTCTCTGTCTCTCTCTCTCTCTCTCTCTCTCTCTCTCTCTCTCTCTCTCTCTCTCTCTCTCTCTCTCTCTCTCTCTCTCTCTCTCTCTCTCTCTCTCTCTCTCTCTCTCTCTCTCTCTCTCTCTCTCTCTCTCTCTCTCTCTCTCAAGAGGAGCTGACTGTCAACACCCTGACGTTTAACTGCATCTAAGATTCTCGGAGATTAAATAGGAACGTCTTCAGTGTTATAGGGAGCGAGAGGAATGGATTATAGGGTGATATAACAAGTGTTGTCAATACAAGGTTTCACAAGCAGATATGTTCAGTAGGAGGATCCAGAGATATTGCATTCGTTATCCGACAGCTGGAAAGACAGGGCCCAGGAGCTAACATTCGATCCTCCAAGCACACTTATGGAGGCTCAGTTGGGAGACTCGCTGGGCTGCTTGAAGCTCAGTTGGGAGACTCACCGTAGAGCTATTTGTCGATAACAAATTGCTCTACGAATTCTGTTATATTATTCAATTGTCATTAATTTTTCCTATGTAACCTTTTCTACTACCACTCACAGGATGGCTTAGGGTCCCACTGTTGCCCAGTGAATGGGTTCCAGTACCACTCACATGAAGGGCACTGGGTCCTCTACCACCCACAGGATGGGTATGGGGGGGTCCAAAATCCGCCCACAGGATGAATATGAGGTCCACTACCCCCGCACATGATGGGTATGGAGTGCATAATAAATGAACAAAAATCAATTTAAAAAGTACCAGAATGACGGGAACTTAAGAGATTCTCTCTCTCGCTCCTTCCCGGGAATCGAGTCGTGTACAGTACTCCTCCTACCAGGCATTGACTTCGCAATGTCTTGGCGCAGTTTGGAAGGACCCACAAGGAAGCCTACTTCCTTGTGGGAGTATGAGGGAGTGACTTTGCTTGTCACCACAGCCGGGGGAGCGGTCAGTAAAGTTTGCCTTAGTCTCTCGGACACTGGAGGGAGCAGTGTCCTTTGAGCGGCGGGCCGGGAGGTGTGTGATGGCTTTTAGCTCACGATGGGTGGGCGTAAGTGGTGGTTGAGGGGCCGCCCGCGATGCTTAACTGTGGGCGTGAAGAGCCGCTCTCAGTACGCGACTGTGGGCGTGAAGAACCGCCCTCAATGTGCGACTGTGGGCGTGAAGAACCGCCGTCACTGTGCGACTGTGGGCGTGAAGAACCGCCCTCAATGTGCGACTGTGGGCGTGAAGAACCGCCGTCACTGTGCGACTGTGGGCGTGAAGAACCGCCCTCAATGTGCGACTGTGGGCGTGAAGAACCGCCCTCAGTACGCGACTGTGAGCGTGAAGACGAGGGCGACCATGTGACCATGTCTTGGCTTTTCCCGGGGAAAATGAAGAGCTTAATTTTCATTTAGTAGCAACTGGAATATATTTGTAGCAGCGTTTGCAGTAAGATTCATTTAAAGTTATTTTTCAGCTTTATCTTGCCATTGTTAGGCTCCATTTAGATTATGCAGTTAAGTTTAGGGCACCGTAATCCCATCGTGCACCGTTGGACGGAAGTGACCGACCCTGCGTACCGTCGACACTGTAGCGACACTGTAGGGACACTGTAGGGACATTGTAGGGACACTGTAGCGACACTGTAGGGCCACTGTAGCGACACTGTAGGGACACTGTAGCAACACTGTAGGGACACTGTAGCGACACTGTAGGGACACTGTAGGGTTGACCAGACCACACACTAGAAGGTGAAGGGACGACGACGTTTCAGTCCGTCCTGGACCATTCTCAATCGACTTGAGAATGGTCCAGGACGGACCGAAACGTCGTCGTCCCTTCACCTTCTAGTGTGTGGTCTGGTCAACTTACTTTAGCCACGTTATTGTGACTCATCGCCGACACTGTAGGCCCATCAAGCGGATATCATCAGCTGCATCTGCAAGTTTGGCCAACATAAGAATAGCCTTTAAAAACGTGAATACAATTCCATTCGCCTGGGTTCTAGGAGTCTCGAACCGAGGACCCCCAAGCGTGTGAGGCCGAAGCTCTATGGACTGGACTATGAGTATACAAGTTTATGGGAATACAGTTATTTAGAACCCTGTATACCACATACGTCGCAACAACTTTTGAATGTGCGTTA